GTGGGTGTTCAGCGTGCATACTACATTCACCACACCATGCAATACATCTCCAAAAATAGAAAATCAAACGTTTTCCTTCTGTCTAAGTGAGGCTTTGAACTCTTTAACTATCATCTCCTCATTTCCCCACCCTGCAGCCCCTGATAACCACCATTCCACTCTCTGCCTCTATTAGCTCAAATGTTTTAGATTCCATATGTAAGTGAGAACATGTGGTATTTGTCTTTCTGTGTCTGGCTTATTTCATTTAGCATAAAGTTCTCCAATTCCATCCATATTGTTGCAAATGACAGAAAGCCTTCTTTTTTAAGGCTAAATAGTATTCCATTGTGCATATATACCACATTTTCTTGATTCATTCATCTCTTGATGAACATTTAGGTTGACTCCATATCTTGGCTATTGTAAATAATGCTGCAGTGAACATGGGAGTGTAGATGTCTCTTCGATATAACATTCAAATCTTTTGGGCAAATATCGAGAAGTGAGATTGCTGGATCTTATGGTAATTCTATTTTTAGTTTTTTGAAGAAACTCTATAGTGTTTTCTATAATGGCTGTACTAATTTAAGCCAAATTTTTTTTTAATTTGGGAAATGTTCACTTTATTTAGGCTTTTAAATATTTTGGTTGAAGTTATACATGATATTCTCTTACAATTTTCACATTCCTTCATTGTAATTACATCCCACCTTTCCTTGTAAATGTTGTGAGTTCGTGCTGTGTCCCCTCCCTCCCATTCACCCTCCCCCTTCTCTACCCACCTAAGTCTCTTTCTCTGTCTCTCTCCCTTGCCCCCAGTACTTGCCAAATATATATCTAATATATGGACATTCAAAAAGCAATTAAATTTTGCTTTTACTGAACACTGTTTTACTCTTTTTGGTTGCATCCTACACATCTAGGTTTTGATATGTAATGCTGTCATCTTTTGTTTCTAAAAAGTTTATAATTTCTGGTTAACTCAAGAATTATTTAGATGTGTGTTTGTGTTTAATGTGGATATTATGTGCTCTCTGCCATTAATCTATAAGTTTCCTAGTTGTGGTCAGTGAGCATGGCCACCATATTTTCTGCCTTTTGAAAAATGCTGAGATTTTCTCTATGACTTAATCATGATCAGATTTTAAGATTGTTACATGCTGTGGGGAGGTTGGTACAAAAGAGGGAAAGAAGAAAGGAGATGCATATTTAGAGAGAGAATAAGCTCATTAAGTACTCTTATTTAAATTATGATATCTTGAATTATTTAAATTGTTTCTGTTAAATTATTAAATGTGATATATTTAAATCCTCAATATTCTTTCTTCTTTTTAAATTAATATTCTCACTTTCTTGTCTTCTTGTTCCATTAGTTTCTGAGAATCATTGTCTCCTGGTATGTGTGTGACTATGTTAATTTCTCTTTGTATTTAATCAGTTTTTCAACGTATGCTTTGATGCTGTGTGGTTGCATGCTTAAATGTTGATGGCAGTCAATATGATTTATCACTTTGTCTCTTTGCTTTTTCCCTTGAAGTCTGTTTTGTTCTATTATTGTGACACCTCTTCCCTTTCCTTCTTAACATGTATTTTGTTGTATCTTTTTTATCCCATCAATTTTCAAACTTCTGAAAGTTATTATTTTATAAATATTTCTGTAAACAACCATAATTGTACTTAAAATGAAAACCTCTTTCTTTTATAAGTGAATGTAACCAATCCATGTCTATTGTGTTTAGGAATATGTGGTCATTTTATTTTGTGTTTTCCACTTATAATGTGTTCCTATCCCCTCTCCCCTTCCCACTCTTTCTCTGTTTCCTTTTTAAATGAGGCTCAAGTTGCTTTTTCTATTTTCTCCCGACTAATCATTTGGAAGTAATATTTTCCATTTTTAATTTTCTATAGGAAATTCTTAAATTTTTAGCATGCATGCTTCTATTTTTCTCCCAGTGTCTAGAGTTTTAAGCATCTGTATTCCATCCCCCAATTGCTTTACTCCTCTTTGTTCCATACTTCGGTCCCTCCAACTGTTTCTCTCTTGCCACTATTCCTGTGTTGATATAATCTGGGACTTGGGTTCTAATTTCTTTACCTTTTTTTTTTCTATTTTTTTGTGCAGTGTGGTAAGACTTAAGAGGAAAACTTTTTGTTTCATTCTTTTTACTTTCTTTTCTTCCTTTCTTTTTCTCAACGTTATTTCTTATATTTCTTCATTTTCTTCTTGGCAAAGTATATAATACTTTAAATCTTTTAGAGTAGGTCATTAAACCTTGCTGATTTCTTACGAAACTATAAATACCTATATTTTCTCCTAAAAGTTGAAACATTATTTGATTGGACACAGAATTTCAAGTTCAAAATTATTTTCTGTAAGAACTTTGAAGTAGTTCCCTCCCCATTGCAGATGACATGCCTGATGTCAGTGTATTTGTCATTTACCCCAGATGATCTTTTCTCTCCCTGCATCTCTGAGAGATTTTGTAACTTCTCTGCATATTGTTTATGTTCTCAGTGTCACTACGAGGTATATATTTGTCTATCTTTATATTGGGTGTGTTGATTATATTGCTTGCAATCAGTGGATTTTTTTCCCAATTGAGGACTCAAATATTCATGTTTCAGAAATGTTCTCTTGCTATTGCTTTATTTCCATCCCTCCATTGGCTCCACTTTCACTCCTAATAGAACAAGTTCTCATAGTAGGTGGTTGTGGAATCTTCCCTTTCCATTTTCCATGTCTCTAAATTTTTTGTCCATGCTTTCTAGTTCTTTTGTATTGCATTTTTTGAGAATTCCTTGGCTCAGCTCTTCATTTGAGTTTTCTTTACAATTCAGCTCACTTTTTAAGTGTTTTATTTTAACAATCTTTTTTGAAATTTCTGGAATCTCTAGTTAATTATGTTTTAGGAACAGAATATACTCTCTCCTCCTCCTGAGAATATCAACCACACTTATGCCAATGTCAGGTCCTATTTGACCTGTTAACTCTGTTTATTTGGGTGTAAGTTCTTCTACTTGTGTTTGGTGCCTGTCTTCCATCTTCTTATCACTGCTTAGATGATTAGGTGATTCTTGGTTGTGTGCCCACTTTCATTTAAGATGTTCTGCTTGCAGGTATTGCATGCACACCAAGGTGTGTGATGCTAAGTAGGGTGGGTAAAAGGACACCCAGTTCTTCCTAGGTGCAGAGAGTCTCCCTGAACAATGCCCAGCCCCTCTTTGAATGTCATACTTGCTGCCAGTGCTAGAAAGCAGATATTCTGTTGTTTTCTACATGGCCCAAGGGCTGGAAGACAAGGGGGTAAAGCGGGGAGAGGCTGAGAGAGTGCTAAAGAGAAGTCCAAGAGCTATACAAAATTCTATCTACTCCTACTTGGTTCTGTAATTTATTACCCTGTGGACTCCTCCTGCCCACGTTTTTGCCTTCAGGCTTGTAGTGCCCCTAGAACTAACTGCTTGCTGTTTCAAGCAGGCCTCTATGGTCTATGGTTTTCTTCTTTTATCTGATGCTATCAGATTTTTAAAATATATTTACATCATGTTATTTCTGAGGATTTGAAAAGTGCAGGGAAGCTTCCCAAATGATCCCCTCTTGTATTTCTTGATGGTGGTATCTCTCAAGGTTTACAGACAAGGAGAAGGCAAGTTGGGGGTCAGATGAAGGGGAGAAGAAAAAAGGAAGACCATTTATGGACTTATTCCACATATTTAAAGAAAAGCTTTTGCAAGAATGTAAACACAAAGTAATTAACCTTTGATCCTCACTTTTAAAAAAATTTTGTATAATAATGAGATATTCTTTTTCATTTTTAGGTCTTGAATATAATTATGGCCAAACCTTATGAATTTAACTGGCAGAAGGAAGTTCCTTCCTTTTTGCAAGAAGGTGCAGTTTTTGACAGATATGAAGAGGTAAAGAAGTGTTATTAATCTTTTCTTTCAAAACATTCTAATAATTATTTGATTTTAATTACAGTATTGAGTAAATATTCTTTGACATAAGAACATCTTTGAGATTTATAAGTTTGAATAGTTGGAAAGAGGCAAGTTATGGGATATAATAATAATTATAGTGATACTGTAAATTATTGAGTGCTTACTGTGTAACAAACAACCTTCTAAGCACTTTATGTGTATTATTTGTTTAATTTCTCACAACAGCCTTATAAGGTGGTTGCTATTATTATTCTGCTATTACAGATGGGTTTCATGTAGTAACAGTTTTGCTAAATGAAGTGTTTCTGGCAGGCTTTCCACATAAAACTTTTTATTTGTTCTAAATGTAATAGTGATTGGACTTCGTGCCAGTCATTTGCTTTTCTCATTTTATTTATACGGACTCATTTGACCAAAACTTTGCATGCCTCTGCTTCTATCATTTATTGTCTGTGCCCTAGTAAGGTGGTAATGGCTCCAGATTTTCTTTGGAGCAGGGGCTTTGAGCCACCAATCTGTCCAGAAGGACTGGGTAGGTGATTGAAGCCTCATTTGCATTGTAAATGCATTGTTTTTCTAGATTTCCTGAATTTGAGGTGACTTGGGGAAGGGTGTGTGGCAAAACTGACATTGTCTCTAAGGCAAAGTAAAACTTATTAACACTTTATTCTTAGTCAGAGTTGGTTCCCTTCAAAATCAGTGAAATGTGTGTGTTGGCTAATTGGCCAGCCCTCCCAGAGTTTCAGATTGTCAGATGCAGAATGTCAGGTGCACAAACTACCTTTTCATGAGGTCTTCTGTCCGTTGATGTGACTTAGTACTTGTTGACTTGATTTTTCCAAAGTGTGTATCTTAGTACTCTGAATTTATAGAACATAGCTTTTTAAGTAAACAAAATTGAGAAAGACAAAGAATGGGCCCAAATGTGGTCACTGTTCCTTATACTGAACTAAAATATAGAAATGGCAGCTATTCATATGTGTGAGTACCACCTCCAGGAAACAATAGCTGACTGCATTCTGCTGTAAGAAGAAATGAAATGATATTCCTACACCTAGAGGCAACCATTGTTAATTCTCTGACAGTTTTCTTCTACTCTTTTTTTCTATTTGTTTTGCTTTTCTCTCTCTAGTTGAGATCATAGAATAATCTTTTAAAAATGTAAATCAGGCCCTCTTCCTCCTTTATTTAAGATTCTTCCATCACTTTCCACTATAGAAAAAAGGAAACTACTCAGAATGAAATACAAGGCCTTCCATAATTTGGCTCTTGGCTAATTACTACAGCCTCATTTCCCACCAGTTTCCTACACATACCCTCTGCTTTAGCTATAGCAAACCACTTACAATTTCCCCCATAAACTGTTCTATTACATGCATTATATACGCTGCGTCCTCTTCCTGAAATGTACACGTTTCTACTGTTTAGTGAACTACTCATCCTTCAGAACCCAGACAAGAAATCTCTAGATCTGTTGATACCTTCCTTGACCCATTCAGTAAGCGATGTTAACTCCTTTGTGTCATCACTAATCTGCTCTTGCATATATTACACTGCCTTCATATTTTATTTACAGTTTCTGTCTCTCCTACTTTACTCTGAATTTCTTGAAGTCAAGAGCTATATTTTACTTGTCTTTCTCTCTGTAGGGACTAGCAGAATGCCTACAACTGTCAAACTCATTGAAGATGTCTAGCATCAAAAAGGATTTTAGATACAATCATTCCAACTGAGTCTGGTTTTGTTCTTATGTGGTTTTTTTTTTTTTTGATAGTGAAAATGGTGAGAAGGCTTAGTAATTCTTGAGAACTGTGTGGGGATTTGAGTTTCAACAGTTTCAAAAATATTAGGATAAATTATATGAAATTTTCATCTTTTAAATAGAAAAATATTATCAACAATTTTCTATAGTTCACATCTAATACAAAGTAAGTTATTGTAACTGACTACTTTTACACAATTTATGTAACTTGGCAGAGAAGGCTAAGGACTAACTTAGATGCATATCGAAATCATCCTCCAGGTAAGCCTAGTCTAGTTTGAACAGTGTCACCAGGACAGTGGAGTAGTGGAGGAAAACATATTTTTTCCACCCATTGCTAGATAATAGCTGAGACCCCTTTAACATAAGACAGATCAACAAGAGAAAAGCACACAAATTTATTTAATATAAGTTTTACATAGCATGGGAACCTTCAGGAATAAAGACCCAAAGAAACAAGGAAATCTGTGTATTTTTATGCTTAGGTTTGGTGGAGAGTGGGCAGTCATTTAGAAGTATGATTAGACAAAGCTGGGAGTATGATCCAACAGTAATAACTGGAGGGAATTTAGCAAGCCCTGTTTGCTCTGATTCTTCTGTGTGTCCCTGTGTCTTCAGAGATAAGGACATTTCTTTTCTCCAGGTATAGGGAGGACCCCTCTGGAATGAGGGTCTTATGATACCTGAAAGGAAGGTCATCTAGGTTTTATGATCTGCTTCAGGGGAGACGGGGTGAGAGGAAGGTGAGAGTGATCTTTCTGCCTCTGCTATTGTCTCAAAAGCCAAGGTGCTATATTTTGGGGTAGCTTGTCCTGAACCCACCAATGGTCATTGTCTTTTATTACATGCTAGTGAGTTACATCTCCCCCTGAATCTGCTAGAGCATCCCAAAAGATTTACAGTTTTCTAAGGCAATTTTCCAGGCTCTGGAATGCTACAGTATAATTAAAAAATACTGCATAACTTCTAATAATTCAAAAGAGGTCATTTTGAAGAGATTCAATGTAATCACTGGCTGAGTATCTCCCTTACTGTCATGTAAGCAAAAATGTATTGGAGAAAAAAGTCCTTTTTTCAATAAATAAAGTGAAATGTGACCTGATGAACTGGAGCTTCATCATCATTTGAGTTCTTTTTATTTCTCATGATGATTTTCTTTGGTTATTAATCATCAAAATTCATATTTAGCAAATGCTGATCTAAAGGCATTTGTTTTTCTTTTGGGTTCCTCTGAAAACAAAGTAAAGCTAGAAGGAAAGAAATCTGGAACAAGTATTAAATACAGTCTTACTAAGCTTTCAACTTGAATGCTATTTTACCAGGATCTATAGCAAAAAAGTTTTAACTTTATAAAGTAAACATGTCTCTTCATAATAACATATCAAACAGAAAGCCAAGTAGAACTTCAAGCTGAATGACAGCCAGTTTTTCTTATTATTTTCTAATACTGTAAGACTCAGTTCTTTGGAGGCGCAGCCATTAAAATACATAAAGCAACAAAATGTAAGCAGAAAAGGTCTGTTTCTACAGTTCGTGCATGAACGGTGGTGAGTGGTAACAGCTGTCAGCCAGTGGGAGGAAGAGGAATAAGAGAAAACAAACAGCCATTAAAATACTTAAAGCAACAAAATGTAAGCAGAAAAGGTCTGTTTCTACAGTTCGTGCGTGAACGGTGGTGAGTGGTAACAGCTGTCAGCCAGTGGGAGGAAGAGGAATAAGAGAAAACAAAACCTAAGCATCCCAAAAATGTCACAGCAAAGGGGCGTAAATGCTCTTAGCACCCATGATAGCTAGTGTTATCATGATGACTTGAAATACCAGGTAAGCATTAAATGATGTTCTGCGTATCTGCTTACAGAAAGCAGGGAAGTATTTGAAGCAGTGGGAAGCCCTTACTAGGACAGGAGAAAAAATGTTTAACAGCCACAGTTTTTAAAATATATATTATTTTGTCAATAAATATAAGTGTAACTGCATTTAAGCTTTATTTTTATTATTTCTGCATTACTGAGGAATTAATTTGAGGGAGCCAACATTTCAGAAAGTACATAATTTAGCAGCCTGTGTTGTAGCGTCTGATCATATTGCCATGCCATTTCTAAATCTGTTTTTTTTTTCTAACTTTGTCTTATAAATTACTTAAATGCAAAATATATTTTGTTTCCTAAACAGTGCCTAATATTAAATCTTTAAAATAGAAATTTATCTCTTGTAGAGGAGAGAAATGGCTGTGCTTTTAAAAACACAAGTGACCCAAATGTTTCTAACTCAACCAATCTCCTGACTTTCCTTTAATATCCATATTAGAGGAATGAAGACCCTGTACCCTGGCAGGTCAGGGTCCTCTCCAATCCTTCTTACTCGTGGAATTCTTAGGTGCTTACACTCTCTTGGTGGTGATTCATCCCCTCCCAGCAATCTTAGCGTTCAGGCCTGTTGCTTGCTCCCGATTTATTTCTCTCCCTAAACCCAGAAACACAGGATGTTGTATGAAACAGATGTACTGAAGATGTCGCAGCAGCAGAGGAGCACTGCAGCACACAGCAGGACACACTTGAAGATTACACATCAGAGATCACACTGAATAGATTTCATTAGCCAGCGCAGCCGAAGGGTATCTCACTTTGTCTTCTTTTGTCCCATTCTTCCACCAAGATGCATGTTTCCATTTCTCTTCTTTTCTTTTTTAATTGCTCCCCCAGAGTCCTTTTCCAATTCACTCTTTTTCTTAGTAGGAAGCATGGCATCAGATCGGGAACAAAGCAATGAGGCCTGAAAGGAAAGGATGTGAATTGGGAATGTGAAGAGACAGGGTTTAAAAGGACTCAGTGATTGGTCAGTAATTGTATCAACTTTTGCAGCTCAACAAACCACTCCAAAGCTTAGTGATTTAAGACCGCACCCAGCTGTGTGGTGCATGATTCTGGGCATCAGCAGTCTGGGCTAGGCTCATGTGGACACACTTAGGTGTTTGCTGAGTCAACTGGGTACTGTCTCATCTCCACCCTACCTGGTCTGACATCTGCTTGCAAGTGGGTGGGGCTGATTCTTTCTTGGGTACAGCCAATTTCTGCCTCATTCTATAATCCACAGCAAGTTGTAAGTCCAGCCTAGATTTGAGTGGGGAGGTCCATTCCACCACTCAGTGGAAGATGAAAAGTCACATTGCAAGGACGTGGATACAGGGAGGGGTCAAGGATTGTGGCCCTCTTTA